CGGATGGCGAACCTCGTCGCCGGTTTTTCTCCCGGAGATTCTTCGCACCCCTGCCCCATTAAAGGGGCGCCGGGAACTCGGGGCCATTTCTTTTATCTCCTGACTCATGGTGCGAACAATGGGGTGGTGGTAGATTTTACGCCGCTACCACACGGCGGGAAGCCTAGTCTATTTTTTTTCGGCTTTGTCGCTCGTTTACCACCACCCGGGGGACACGTGTAGGGTGGGCCTAAGGTTTGGTGGTCGAAGCCTATGGACGCGAGCGACTCATCCCCCAAATCAAATGGGATAGCCCTTATAATTAAAAAAAACAGTAAAACAAAATTCTGTGATAAATGGTAATAATTACGGTATCTGTACTAATTGTAAACTATTAAACTACACATATTTGTTAAATTCGTTATATTTCTTTTATTTCTTTTATGAATAACCTACTTTGATTGGTACCTACTGTTTTTGTAAGCACATTATTTTGTTAAAGCCTTTAATTCTAGTGTGTTCAATTATTTTGGTGTTTAGTTTCGCAAACATGCAAGCTATGCATAGTCTAAGATTCGTTTTTGAGTATTCAATCTTAATTTCATGAAAATAAGTAATTCATAATATTTAAAATTGGATTTTACTTGAACCTATTTCCAAGTGAACATTGACCTTTATACTATTCCAGTACGTTATTGTGTTATCGTGTGTTATATCTTCCAGTGCGTTATTTACACTTTTTTACGATCTTACCCATTTATAGATGATCCCTTTGTAAACCGCTTGCTTGGTACATCCGAGTATCTTACTAAATTGATTATTAGAAGAGTACTGAGACAATAGTGTCATATCTTATTATCATACGGAAATTGTGTATACTAATTTCTCTATAGCACAGTTTCCGTTTCCCCGTAATTATTTCGTGGTATTTTCTGACATCGGAATAAAATAAATTCAATATTTAATAAAATATAGATACTTACGAGTGAAATGGTACACCTTGAGCTTTATTTGTGTTTCTAGAATTATTATTGCACTTTCGAAAGGCACACGGATGGCATTCTGAGAGTTTTTTATGATGAAATCAGCGCGTTAATTCCAATGTGCAACGTCTGGCTATCACCGCACACAAATGAGCACTGATTACGAATGAGTGAGCTCACTCATTTGAGAATGTACAAAATTCGGTGTGGTCATACTATGGTAAGGGCATTTCTAACGATTTAAACATTTGGCATGATCACTTGACATGACAAAAGTCTTAGAAAGAGAAATCTCATGCTGTTACAAAAGAACAAGAAATCGACACTTCAAGATACTTTGGAGCTGTATAACAAGATTTTGTACTTTATTTATTTGAGATGGGGTTCATCATTTCGAGCCTTAGTCCATACAAGAGCCAATTCAGCGGTCCTCAGAAATTTAGGGTATGTATTGAAATAGGCTGGATAGTAAATGACTACGATTTTTAGAAATGTGACGGAAATACTGATATAATTATAAACAAAAAGGTACTACAATTACCGGAGAGTACTAGGAATACTAAATTGACAAGCTAAAAGAGGCTATCAAAGAAAAAAGATCGCCAAAAATTACAAAGAATGTGTTGTTTCTGCAAGACGACGCGCATCAACGAGATATGATTTGAGAGACAAGGTTTAACTCAAGTATTTAAAATTTCTTTATATTATGTGCCCTATTATACTGTATTTAAACAACAAATACTGTAAACAGCAATTTATAAGGTACTTTGTAAGGTATTACAAAAACAAACTTACATTTTTTAGAGTTTCACAATATCCCGTGATATTTATATCATATCGATCTCTTTATCATTTCAGATTTTTTTTAATGAGAAAGAGATCGTCGAGTGACAGAAAACAAAGGTCTCACAGACCGAAATGTAGGTTAAAGCAGGCTTGCAGAGTACAGTCCGAAAGCTATTATATGCTATTAAATCTTGCGCGTTTGTTTGCGCGTTTACCGCAAAAAATCCTTCGTCGCATCTTCTTAATTTGAGAGCTCCTCTTGTTGCCTCAGCCAGTATCGGAATTCTCGGCGTCGACATAACGAGTGATGTTCAGTCCGCGGTCACTTGGAAAGTAAAGTCAAATTAGTCTCTAAGAAGCTTGGCGTTCTCAGTAGAGCACGACAGTATTTCATGCTGGCACATCCCTTGCAATTTTACAAGACGCAAGTTTGGATTCATATGCGAAGAGCGACCCGAATCGTCGACGACCGATTTTTTTCTGATAAGCTCGACTCACTTGTGCTGCAAAGAGATGTTGCATTTCCTACTGCACTTACCAAGGGTAGTGTTCAGAGGAATTGTTAGGATAAATATAATTCCCGCCGCCGAATTCCATCATCGCACGTTGCGACAAAATTTACGATACCATCAACCCCATCTTGGCGGTCTATCACTATGCTATTTATCTGAAACTTTTGTCCTCGCACGAATTCGTTGTGGAATACACTACCACCTGAGTTTTATTGGACCGATACTACTAAAGGATCTTCAAGTAAAGAGCCTACTCTTTTTAAAAAGACTGGCAACGCGTCTGCTATTCCTCTGATATTGCAATCTTTTAAGGACGACGGTAGTCACCATCTGGTGTGCCGCTTGATCGTTTGCCTTTCGTTTGAACAAAATTATACTATTCGGCTTTAGAACATTTTTAAGGAGAGAATCGATTACTAACGGACACTATACATTCAACATCTAGACCAAATGTTTTTTGTATGTAAATGTGCACGGTCACGAATGTCAAATGTCAGTATTTAAAAATAAAAACAGATTTAAAAGGTTCTTTTACTGGAGTCGATTGTGCTTAAGTCAGCACTTAAAAATGTTACCAAGTTTTACTCTTGAGAGCCCTTGACCACCATGCGACGATTTGTAGGGCTGGCCTGGAACGGTGAAAATAAATCGAGTCTTTTTCTGATCATTGTATTATTTATTGATCATGACACATTTTGTTTTTTTACGCAGCTAAAATTAATTTACTTTCGTTTTTTTGACTTATAACCTATAAGGATAGGTAAGCATGCAGAATGTATGTATATAAGCAAAAAAGTCCTAAACAAAGAAGAAGTCCTGTCACCCTCACACAATTTCACCTAGTAAATTTTTTGATTTGATGTAGTGTGAAGGGTAGATTGAGTTATGAAGCAGGAAAAACTCTTTCTTCTTTGCTGAAAAGCTAAAAAAATTAGAGAAATTCTGTGGGTCAGAAGTGGAATGTTTATAGTTTTTTAAATTACTTTTAAAGCCGTAGTAGCATAAGGTCTAACGCACGCTTGACGCAAATTACATAATAAGCGAACAACCCAACTGTCAGCATCAATGAAGTTGTTAATTGGGCATGTGCCCTGTAGGTAGGTAATATAGGCTCTAACTTTACTAATTTACGAGGGTGGATTGAAAAGTACTCGGCCTAACCAAGAAAATAAGCACATACTAAATCAGTTATATTTTTATTTTTCTACATAATCACCATCAAGTTCAATACACTTTTGCCACCTCCCCTTCCAAGCATTTAGACCGTTGAAAAAAAATGATTCTTCCTTAGAGTCAAAATATGCGTCTACAGCTGCTTTGACCTCGTCGTTTGTCGAAAATCTTTGACCTCCCAAGTGCTTTTTTAGGTTAGGGAACAGAAAGTGAAAAAAAACCTTGTGGAAACCCAACTCGTTGACAATGATGTTTTGAGTTCGTTCATAAGAGATGCCTATAATCTCGGCTATCTCTCTAATTTTTAATCTGCGGTCTCCCATTAATAAATCAAGTACTTTTTTAATATTTTCGTCAGTAGTTGACGTCGAAGGCCTTCCAGAGCGGGGTTCATCTTTCACACTCTCTCTACCACGCTTAAATTCTGCTATCCATTTTTTGACGGATGAATATGACAGAGCACAATCGCCTAATGTACTGACCATGTCATCATGGATGGCTTTTGATGATAGCCCCTTCTTATGGAGGTACTTAATGACGGCACGCTGCTCGATTTGCTCCATTCGCGGAAATTATGTCCGATTACTTTGTTAATAAATTTATAAAATCACAACTAATTATCGCACACGTTTCGAACTTCACACAATGAACTAGTCTGAACTGAACTAAATAATGTGTGTAGATTTGATTTTTAGAATTGAATGGATCTGTGTTAGGCCGAGTACTTTTCAATCGACCCTCGTACTTTTACATTTAAAAGAGGTTATTGTCAGGGGTTATGTCACATCTATAGACCTGATGATGTCTAATAACTCCCATTATTTATTCCTTGTCCTTTTCTTATTTTCATGGAGAATTGTCTACGTATATCCGCCTAGCAGGAGCGAAGACGGTTTATGTTGAACTCGTAGCGATTAAAACCCCGTAGTATTCCGCCCGGATATCGGCAGACCCACGTGAATGATTTCGCACACAGCCATACCAGTACCAGTCTTATGGGAGTGGTGGCTCTCTACGGAGAAAACGCTCATAAACCTATTCTTTGTAACAAGGCGCGCTAGATTACAAGGCCATGCCAAGGCCAAGGCGACTACATGACCTCCTTCTCCACCTGTACAACGAAGATACTATAACTTTATCCTATTCTACGACGACTGATTATCCTTAATCGTATATAATACTGTTACCATCCCCCTTAACTATTCTTTACGCATGCATAATAATTTCCTCAGTCTTCATTGATGGCAGTAGATCTGTTAGACGAGTTTGGTCTAAATAGGAACTAAATCCTGTCAAGTGCGGAGAACATGGCAAGATACTTCGCCGTGTAGTGGCATAACATTAACAACCCAAATTATTAAAAAAAAAATCGGTTGCCCAACCGCCTACCAAGCGTGGCAACTATGACAAATAAACTCCTCAAGAGACATTCTATGAGGGAGACCTGTGATCAACAATAGACTTGGTGTCCATGTCTAGCAATCTTAGCTTTTATAAGTCAATGGATAAAAGAGTCTGTTTGAAATCTGACGATTTTCCATACCTTATATCATTATTTCTACTACAGTCGGACTTCAGCGGTCGAGTGGTGAACAACGACCACTTTTTGTACTGGGGCGGCGTACAGAAGGAGAATGACGACCAGGAATATCGCTTCGAGGTGATAGAGCAGACAGAGTTTGTCGACGATGCGTGCTTCCAGCCGTTTAAAGGTAGGTTGTTGCATTAAGTATATCAATTTTCTCTTTTTTATCCACGAAAATAATACCTCCATATATAAACAGAAATTAATAAATGGTTCATCGCTTTGTAATGAATAATTTAAAAAAATGTTTCTTATTATTTTAAATGATGAAGAAATATTTTTTACGTGACTCACGTTAAATTGAAATACTGTTTGTTCATATCAATTATAAATCGAAGAAAGAGTCAAAATAATTGTTGGTATAGACAACGGCGGATTTAGGCTTAGACCGGTGGGACCTGCCGCAGATTTGAGAAGCGAAAACAATTAATGAAAGGCGACTCAAATCCAAAATCGATTACATTAAGAACGGCAGGAAATTTAACGCCAAAAGCTTAAATCGTTTTTCTTTTAAAAACTTTTTACTTTGAATACAGTTGGTGTTGAGTCGTTTTTTGCATCTGGCACAACTTATAACTTTGGAAACAGTGTCGTCAATTCATAAACAATCGCACTTTTGCAAAATGCATCAACGAATTAAAAATATTAAGCCGACCATATTACTTGTTAAAAATTTGTTATTCTAATGCGAAATTAAACGTAAACGTAAATTATTCGTTTGTATATAATATGTTTAAACTTGTTAAATTGCGTATTACGTAAATTGAAACGTTATTCTACTTTTTTAATTTATTATTGCTACTGTTAATCATTTTTAATATCTTAATTCGATTGTCAGCACTTCACGTGGCGAGTAATAGAACTAAAAAAGATTTTTGCGATATTTTGTATAAGGCGTGCATAAAGTTTAGAATCGTTTCTGCAAATTACATATAGCCGCAGCAAACGATCGTATCAATTAGAAATAAAAGACTATAAAATGAGTTTACAATTTACATTCGGCTACTTACATAATGTAGTAGGACGTAATCGAAGTCTTAAAGTACCACAAATGCATCGTTTCATACTGTTTTACATTATTATCATTTCTGTACAGTTGGCAAAACAGAGCCATACGTAAAGCGATGCGTAGCTACGAAGATACAGTCGGCAGAGAAACTAATGTACGTTTGCAAGAACCAGCTGGGCATCGAGAAGGAGTACGAGCAAAGACTGATGCCGGACGGTAAGATGACGGTGGATGGCTTCATGTGCGTCTATGATGTCAGTCTGGTTCCGGGGAGGACGTGGGAGAAACAGGTATTTATTTTTTCTTTACTTTTATACTGTAACGAAATTAGCGCTACAAAGGAATCTAATGCCTGTCGGCATTCTCTGACAATGTCAACTCCGGGTGTGCTATGGATTTCGTGTTAGATCTAGTTTAAGTAGGATATAAGAAAATGTAGCTTGAGTGATATAGCTTAATTTTACATCGTCTCCATATTACTCAAGTCCCAGAGTAGTTGTAGTTCTTTCGAGCCTTTGACAATTAATGCTGATGTTCCTCCTTCCCTTCTCTTCGCAACTATCTTCCTGATGCATATCATTGACCTGCTTATGTCCCGTATTTATGGGAATGCAGATGACAGCACAGTTTTAAAGTGATATCAGCTGTGCTCGGACTAGTCGGGATTAAATCTAGTCCAAAAAAGCTGTATGATTGAGTTTATGAATCTCTCATTGCAGGTTGTCTCGAAATAGAGGGATGCCAATCTCGTGAGATTCAACGCCTCCAAAACTTATGCGAGTCATCGCGAAAAGAAGCCAGCTTAGATTGGTCCCTTTTTCCCAAAATGTGTCATTGGAATTCACTGACTGTCTTCAGTTTTGGCTTAATGAATCCAGGGGCAAAGCAGGTGCATGGAAGTTAAGGGTCCTTGCAAAGGTGCTGCAATACTTCACGCCGGGACAATTGCTTACACTATATAAAGCGCAAGTCCGGTCGTGCGTGGATGATGTTTTGTTGCCATATATTATGGTCTGGTGCTGCAAAACGGCACGTAGCGACTTTTGGACTTAATGGAAAGACGTGTTAAGAGACTTGTTGGTGACATCAATTTGATTAGAAATAATTTTGCAGGTTTCGAGCACAGGCGCAAAGTAGCCAGCCGTAGGACACATTTCGGATAGCGTGCGCAGGGATTGCGTAACTTAGTTCCTCTCTCTCTTCATTCTATCATCGAACCACCACACACATACGAACCAAATGGTTTGCTTTTACATAATACATACAGCAAAAGAGTGGAATTAATGGTTGTGAATAGTGGAATAAAAATATTGTTCTCCTAGAGAATATTCTCGATTAGAAATTATGTTATTCATTGTATAATATTTTAATATTGTCAATATTTTGATTGTGTCTTATTTATAATGATTTCTTATATTTACGCGAACACTATACATGATTAAAACTACTTTTACGGATTTTATCGCGTTTATTTTTACTTTTATTTTTAATTCCCGACGTTTCGGGTGCTTTCCAGCACCTATGGTCACGGTGGACTGAGATGACTGACGTCCCGATGTCATTGTTAAACCCGGAGTACCTTTAGCTTTTTTAATTATTGTTTATGGTCCGATCTATGCAAAATGAACTGACTATGTCCTGAGGTCTTGCAGTGGTATGCTTGGGTTTAGTTTTAATTTTATTGATTATAGGATCCCAAGCAGGTGGTAGTACCCAGCCTCCTTCTCTATTGAAATTAGGATGTTTTTTAATTTCAATAGCCTCACGTATCATCCTTGGTAGGAATCGGTGTTCTTTCGCGAGGATTTGTGGTCTATCAAATCTGATGTAATGGTTGGGTCCATCTAGGATATGATCACAAACTGCAGACTTCCCGGAACGTTGATGCTTCACATCAGCTATATGTTCTTTTACGCGGGTCCTAATTGATCTTTTTGTTGAAAGAACACCGATTCCTACCAAAGATGATACGTGAGGCTATTGAAATTAAAAAACATCCTAATTTCAATAGAGAAGGAGGCTGGGTACTACCACCTGCTTGGGATCCTATAATCAATAAAATTAAAACTAAACCCAAGCATACCACTGCAAGACCTCAGGACATAGTTAGTTCATTTTGCATAGATTGGACCATAAACAATAATTAAAAAAGCTGAAGGTATTCCGGGTTTAACAATGACATCGGGACGTCAGTCATCTCAGACCCCCGTGACCATGGGTGCTGGAAAGCGTCCGAAACGTCGGGAATTAAAAATAAAAGTAAATAAAAAGTAAAAATAAACGCGATAAAATCCGTAAAAGTAGTTTTAATCATGTGTCTTATTTACTTACTATGTTTAAAATACTTAAATGTTTTTGTTATAGAACGAAATTACGGCGGCAATCCTCCAAAACATTCTCAAGCTCAAAAAGCCTGTAGTTCTTGTTACCTCTAAGAATGATGAAAGCTGTGAGCAAGGCGTGAGAGAAGCGGAAAGACTGGTGCAGAGGAAAGAGTTCAAAGGCAGCATACCCATAGTGGAAACGTCCAGTCATGATAATGTCAACGTTGACCAGGCTTTCTTCTTGTTGGCTCAAATGATTGATAAGACCAAGGCGAGGATAAAGGTAAATATTGACTATCTAGTCCAATAAAGGTGCTATATTCATTTAGTATTTATAAAGAAGAATCCTGATCCATATACATACATATATTTACCCTTACAGGTGGCTAACTATGCGGAAGCTTTGAGAATAAGAAGAGAGACATTGGACTTCGTAACTGAAGCTTTTACGCAGTTGATTCGAATACATGTCCAGGATCATAAGTATGCACTTTTTTTATTTCACCTATTATCTACAAAGCTATAATATTTTAAGTTTCAAACATTTTAGGGTTCAACTGTTACACAACCTAGCAACAGAACTTTTGTACTACCAAACCATGAGATCTTCTCTTACGACACGCACAGTATGAAATTAGACGATTGATTTGATATTAAAGGACAAAAAAAGAAAGTATTTTATATATAAAATGGCACCAAAATTATTATTTAAAATTTTTGGAGTTCTAGCATTATGGATATTTTTTTAGAATTGTTAATTTTTGGAAATTGGTATCTCAAACCGCTTGACAGGCAAATAGGCGATCGTAGCTAGACTCCTCGCGCTTTTGACGTTGTTTTCAGTTGTTGGACTGGTTATACTGGAGGCCATCAGATAGTTTTAGCATTTTCTATAAGTTTTTACTCACTGTGAGAGTCATGGAGGGGGAGATGGGCAGCAGCATCTTCCTGATAACAACTCTAAATAATAAAAAAACTACGGCTGCGAATCCGCTTGCCAACTGGCAACTATGACAAAGTCCTCCCATGAGGCAATCTATCAGCCTATGTTCGGCAATGGACTTTGATAGGCTGTAATGGATGGAATCTCTTGTATTGTTGCCATTCCACAGATAATCCTTGATTGAGTAATTACATTTTTTTTCTCTTGTGAACAGGGAGATGTGGTCAGCAGCTAGCAAAAGATTAAGCCACTTTCCAGAATGGATCAAGTTCGTTCAGCAGTTTGGCAATGATGGGACTCAGGTGAGCGGTCTTATTTTTCTATGGCACATATTTAATTTTGTTTATGCTTTGACCACCAAAATATTTTATTTTTCAAAACAAACATTGTTTGACTATAAAATACAAATCTAAACAATAAATATTAAATTTCCGTTATATGTTTGCTGGTGGGAATCACATTGCAACTGCATAATTTTTTTTGTGATAATATTTTGTAACCTAAAATAAGATATAAATATAAAAAAGACAATGGTTTATAATTGATACTGTTATATTACCACTATACAACAAAACCAAACACAACACGTCTAAACAAAGCCAACTATGATCCTACTTGAGTTACATAATAGTGTGCCATACAGGCTATTTAAAACTCGTGGTACTAGGGCACACTGAAATGATCGGGAATAGAATATTTCTGATTGAGTTACAATAAAACCTTTTTTAGAATTTGAATACTGGCCTCTTAGAATCTTAATAACATTCAAACAATTTAAAAAATGTTTAAAAACAAAAACTATGTTGGTTTAAAGTTGACACGTCGTTAACAGAAATGGAGCTCACGCGTGAACATTTCCGTGCCATAATTTATCACAATTTTCGTCGCGGCTTATCTCAAGATAAATGTGTCAGCGAACTTGTTTCGATTTATAATGTTGAAGCACCGAGTCAAACGACAATATACCGCTTTCTTCTGCAGCGTTTCTTCTGCAGGTCGACCAAGAACAGCGGTCACGCCTGAAAACATCGCAGCTGTGCGAACTATTATATTAGATGACCGTCATGTGACATACGAGCAGATTCGGGCTGATTCATCAGTATCGGAATGACTGCAATTCATTCAATATTACATAATTAGCTGTGTGTAAGAAAGCTAGTTTCCCGCTGGGTTCCTAACAATTTGCCCGAAGAGCAAAAGGCGGCTCGTGTAGATTGGTGCCGGAATACTCTGCAACGCTTCAACGGAGGGAAGTCAAATGCCGTTTCTAATATCGTCTCAGGTGACGAATCATGGATTTATTCATACGAACATGAAAGAAAACATCAGTCAGCAGTTTGGGTCTTCGAAGACGAGGTCAAACCAACGAAAGTGGTTCGCTCCCGCAGCGTGTCAAAGAAAATGATCGCTACGTTTGTCTCGAAAAAGGGGTATGTTGTTACAATTCCTTTACAAGAACGCAGAACGGTTACCGCTGAGTGGTATATCACGGTTTGCTGGTCAGAAATGATAGCCGAACTCTGAAAAAATAACCCGAAACGTCGCATCGTCATCGTCATCTTACATCACGATAATGCGAGCTGATGACCGCTGATGACGATAACTTGAGCCCAAACGATTTCTTTACATTACCTAGAATGAAAGATTTACTACGCGGTCAACGGTTTGAAGACCCCGAAGCAGCTGTGGAAGCGTACAAATCAGCCATTTTGTCAACATCAACTTCAGACTGGAAGGTTTTAATGATTGGCGGCGTCGTCGTCGCGCCGCAAGCGAAACACACCGAAGCTTAAGAGCGCATATTCAAATATGTCCAAGTCGAAATCTACGCGATCGCTTTGGAACGGCGTAATAATGACGCACACTACAATGTTATCTCTGTGTGCGTGTCAGGGCGAGCATGAGGCTATAATAGTTGCCTAACGTCGACTACGAATCACTTTGATCGTTGATTATATACCTGTCTTTGATACTGTTGGAACTAAAATAATAAAAAAAATAATTTCCATATAATGGCTTACTTATATAGTGTATAGAAATCGGAGGCTAATATGTGGAAATTGTTTTAGGTATTCTTTTAGTAAATTGAAGTCGGCTTTACATTTTCACCCTATTGAGTATATTATAATATGTATATGTTCTAATTGAAAAATATGTATTGTATAAAATATATATCATTTGATAAACTTTTATTCTGTTTCATAATGTAAACATAATTCATCAAACTAACAATTTCATCAGTGTCGGCGGGGATTAGTGTTGCCAGGTCTAGCAAGTAAAATTTCGGGACGGAAGGTAAAAATAATCGGGGATTTGGTTTTCATATCCGGACAACTAGAATGACTATAAAATATAGGTTTCTTTGTAGCCTGTTGTGCTTTATTGAGAGCCGTGGTAGCTCAGATGGTCAACGCTAACTGTAAATATGCGAAGATGAAGAAGATGCTGTAAAAATGCGAGTAATGCGAGAAATTGTGACTGTAACTTTACTTTTGTGTTTTATAATTATTATTCGAGTCTGATCTCATGAATGAATAACTTTTCATCCAAACATCGTAAAAACTGAATTTTTTTTCATTTTAGGCAAATTAAAACATTTTTGAACTACTTGTTTTTTTTTGCAGTCCCTGAATTTTTCAAATCACTCATTTTAATATAATTCTGTTTAAAACTTTTGTGGTTTTTTTTTCGACTGGTGAGACAATGTCGTAGTAAAAATATTTTAATGTGGTAGTAGCTAACAGATATAATCATTTTTGCTGTCAAAATTATGGATTAAAGTATAGAATAAGAAGGTTAGTGAAAATCGGGACATTTGGCGTCCCGATTAATGATGAATCGGGACGTGTCACTAGACCTTTGAAAATCGGGACGTCTCGCGCAAATCGGGACACCTGGCAACACTAGCGGGGATCGAGCCCGGCTTGTTCGCGTTTACGGCGAGCACTACGCCATTGAGCTACTCAACTCAAGCACGGCTCATATGTTTTATATCTGGGGGCACGGTAGTGCCCTCGTCATGTAGACCAAAACAGCGGCACGGCCGTATCATCATTGCGAGACTTGGTTAATTTACAAGTTATGTTTTTGATGGCATGTCTTTGTTTAATCATAACGTTATCTCCACACTAGGAATTTTTCCTAAGTACATACATCGTTGGGGCAGTTTAAATACATTAAGTTCACAAGGACAAACATCCAGACATGGAACAATTATTTGTAGGTAATACAAATTTTTGTTCCATGTGGGATTCGAACCTGCGGCGCTCAGCGCTACAAATCATTACCAAGTCACTCCGCCACGGAGCCAAAGGTGAAAGCCAACGATTTTGTATTTTTACTTGATCCGAATTGCTTACGTTCAATTACTCATTTCTAAAAAAAATATGTATGAAATGAAAATTTGCCACCATTACATCATTTAATATTTAAATATTACAATCATAAACATATTTCAAAATTACTTACTACCAAAAATATCGCTTATAAAAGTGAATCGTTTAAAATGCTCGATGGTGCTATAGGTATCTAGTTATAGTATGGTGTAGTATAGCCCTATCGGTGTATCAACGCGATCGCGCGGTGTCGGTGAGAAAAAGTAATATGTCCTGTCGTTGGGATTACCCGGAGCGTACTGAATCGAACTGCGTCTGCGCATGATGTTTTATAGTATTTTTAAAATAATTATATAAAATAATTGACAAAATAAAACGAGCTAAAATTTTTTTTGGACATTTAACATTACATGTATTTTGATAAAATAATTAAAATAGATACGTTTATAAGCAAATACATGGAAAAAATGACATTGAAGTAGACAGATTTGGTGATTTTATAATATTATTTTATAATATTAAATCGAAATATTATCGTAATTTAGGTTTTGCTATACCCTAAAAGACTATATATTTCATTATAATAACGCTTAAAATAAAGTATTTTAGCTTATAATAATGGTTGTATTCAACCTGAAAGATAACTCTGATGCATATTTTCGTAAAACACAGTGAAGGGATTGTCTTCGCCCTAAAAAACCGTCATTAAAAACTATGATTTTGCACTGCTATGTACTAAATAAATACTTCATCTTTCTAAAGCCCTAATTTTCAGCAAATAATCTCCTCACGTCGTTACGATATCGCCTTTGGAAAAACCATAAAAGATGTAGTTTTCGACGCGAAACGCATATGCCCTCTTAAATCACGCTATTAACATTCCGAATCATAAACAGCATATATAGAACATCTCTGAACTATCACACGGGGTGTTGGCCGCTCCCCGGGCAGAACACCTTGCCCGGCGGGAGATCACCCCTTTTCCTACCACGGCCAGAGTGGTGACCACCCGACGTGATCTGAACACGCAACCAACAACCTTCGGAAACTACAACTTTCAAGCCTTCATTATCCACAAGAACCCCTACCATTCACTACTGAGAATCGTCTTCTGCAGTCTTCAGTTCCTGCAAGCCAGTCCAACTTGTCTTCATCTCGACTCACCGCAGATTTATAAGGCAGACTTCTGGCACTGGCTCCGGCACATCGTTCTCACCGGCATCACTTGCCAGTGCGTAGTACGGCATGCATTACACATTGGCATATCATTCGCACCGGTGTCACTTGTCCTTACGCACACAGCATGCATTCCCCACCGGCATTAAAAGGACACACCGGCAATCGGACTGCACTATCGACCTCCGGTCTGAGCAGGGGGGTGATGTGGCGGCGCTGTCGTCGCGCCGCAAGCGAAACACACCGAAGCTTAAATCACGCTATTAACATTCCGAATCATAAACAGCATATATAGAACATCTCTGAACTATCACACGGGGTGTTGGCCGCTCCCCGGGCAGAACACCTTGCCCGGCGGGAGATCTCCCCTTTTCCTAACACGGCCACAGTTTGCACGAATGGAAAAGTGCATTAAGTTGAACGGAGAATACTTCGAAAAACAATAAAATACAATTTAGCTATACCGTGCATGTGGTTTTTCTTATTCCCGATCATTTCAGTGTGCCCCTCGTAAGATGTTGTTATAAGAAAATTTAAATGAAATTTTCGGCCAGGATATTACGATAACTTATTTAGTCTATTTATGGTACACAATTACAACTTATACACTTACTTGATTATTATATACTCGATTTTATCTTCCTTCATGGATATCATCCCAACCACAATAATACAAAATTTGTTGTTTAAATAATCTTTATATATATAATCGTTGTTGCACTTGTAAGTTATCACGTAAATTCAAGTTGTTCAGAACAACTTTACCGATTAAGGTCCAATGAGACATATTATATTATTTTTCTTTCTTAGCTCGCTGCTAACACTCGCTGCTCTGTAAAATAAATCTATGATTATTGTATTCCAGGTTGTGTACCGTCGTCATATCCGACGTCTGAAAGAAGAGCGTTCAGCGAAGAAGCTTCGTAAGCAGCTCGCGAAGTTGCCTCAAGCACTCTCTCGTATGAACCTGCCAACTGAAGATTTACAGGAAAGGTAAGATAAAAATTCCTTAATTGTTAATGTTGACTTTAAGTTGCTAGACTGTTAAGGTGTGGCTGGGCTGCCGGGCTTTGTTATGCCAGTACGTTTCTAGGGCAGGCGGAAAAAAGGACATTGACCTCAAGTATTATGTTAGCATCGAAACAAAACGACAGTTATTGCTTCCATACATTTCTTTATAGATTACGTATGGTTATGCGCTGAGCGTGTCTCATGGTACGGGGTAGAGTGAAGGAAGCGGTTATTCAGAGATAATAAACCTGTTTCGACGCGATTTGCGATAGGTCTGACGCCGTGCGTATTTGAGAAAGCGAATGGAGCAGAACTCATTCCTCATTCTGCTTTGGGATGTGCTTGTGTGTAAATAGTATGAGATTTAAATTTTAAAATAAAATTTAATTTTCGATTATAGTAGTTGTTTTAAGTTTAATTAAGTTTGTTTTGTTAGTTGTATTATTACGGTTTGTATTAAAGTTTTTGTTATTGTTTTGTGACGTTTTGTATATTATCACTAGTATGAAATCAGGTCCATCGACATGGAAATCTCATAAAGACTTTACGTCACCACGAAAGAAGCGGAAAGTGTTGCATGTTTCGGACACCGAAAAAATAATGATGTGTAAACATTTATAAATATGTAAAAGAAACGTGGTCTAGTGACACTAAGTACAACTACCTACCTACCTTAAGTAGGTAAAGCACTTCCTACTATTAACGTAATAATGAAAATTGTAATAACTCATGATTTGTAAATAATAAACTTAAATTAATATTAATTTGCTTTTAATTCATTTAGGTACAGGATCTTCTTTCTTTATTATATAGTAATAGACATAGGGCCTGTAAAGTACTTCGCACTCGGCACTTAATGATAAAAGGATAAAAATGAACCTAAACAAAAAAGATTGCCTACCCCGATGATGTCATCAAAGGTCAATGTACTTTTTCCGCCTGCCGTAGAAACGTACTATAACAATATGTTAATATTATAATATTATCAATCTTGAGTTATAAACAACAGTTTTTTTTCAATTGATATCAGGAAGTTGCTACTGCTCATCTTCTGTCTCAATTTCCTCTGTCGTCTCTTACGAAACGCGCATAATGATATGGAGTAGTGCACGGAATGTAAAAAAACGCAACAGTCAGTCACGGAGCCGACGGGTCGCTACTTAACTAATGATAAAACTATGATTTAAAAAAATAAAATTAATAAAATGCGGTAATATACCGTTTTATTCAATTTTGGAATGTGAAAATTAAAGCACATAGAAAAATCTCTCTAATCTCGTAATTGTATTCGTTTTTTTCAAATATGGACAAAATATCAAATTGCCATTATATTATATTATTAACGTTATTTCGTGACTTTTTTGCGATGTGTGAGTTTGGCGACAATGGTTTTAATACAAATGCATTTATAGTCAACCAAATCTAAGAAATACATTTTGACAGCTGTCAGGCTTATTGCACCAAGCATGCCAACCAAAAAATGAGAATGTACAATATCGATAATAATCGATATCGATTCTTAAAAAAATCGATATCGATTATTTAAAGTTAAACACAAAATTTATCAGTTTCTTCGTATTTATTGTTACTGCTTATTTCTATATGCAAAGTTATAAAAATTTAAGATTGAAACTAGATTAAAAATAAATTTATTCAATCACTTTCAGTACAACTACTTGAGCTGTCGTTGTATAGATTAATTATTATTTGATTTTCAATAATGCAGTTAAAATTAATGTCTTTCAAAGTCATCCATACTCATTTTTTATTTTTTCTATCTCTTTTACTCAATCAACTTTTACTCCACATGCTTCCATATAGAAGAAACAGTCCAAAAAGTTAAAGCCGAGTCACAAAATAAGAAGACAAACACAACATCATAAAATAACGCACAGTAAGTTCCCGAAATGGCGGGAGATTGAAATTACGTATTGGTTTTTTTAGCGCGGCCTTGTATATGAGTTTTTTTCTTACACAAATTTATTTTGAAAAAATAAAAAAAATCAAATTTTAATTATCCAAACACTGCGGTAAGTTTCTGAGCGACATATCATTGAAACAGCGTCAAGTAAAAAAGTTGATACTTTTGATTTTTTTAATATTTTGTTTTGTTTGAAAGATTCGAATTTGAATTAGTGATAAAAAACTATACACGTAGTGAAATATGGGTAACTCCATAATTCTTCGGATTTATGTAAAAGGTTATTTTAAATTGTGTGAGTACGCTTGTGCAAAGTTGTAGTGGAATGATTAATGTTAAACGTCAAAAGGTATTTCTTAGATTTGGTTGACTATAGTTACTTTCTATTGTTTTTTGTATTCCGTGGGATAGTTCATAACTACGTACGTAGCCCAGAATAAGTGAAATTTTCACAGCTAAGTAACTCTTAATTCATTGAAGTTATAAGGCTTAGCAGTCAACTGTAGCCATAGCAGCGACCACAATAGATTTTACTGGTCGCAGTAATACTGGCTGATATAAGACAATCTGCTCGCATAAAATTAAATATCGGAGTGCGGCAGTGTCGTGGACACGACCGTGTGTTTTATTTGAATACGTGTACGTAACGAAATGATTTCAAAAGGCGCTCCTCCCTCCGCCGCTCTCGATTCGTCGCAGTTCTCACTCACTGTAACTATTTCTTTGATCCTTTTGTTATATCGAGTGATGTAATTAAATTATGGATGTACATGATAGATATGCAATTATAATGGCAGATTAACTGATCCCACATACGCAACGTATGCAACGCAGTATGACATCTCGACTCTTGTATGAAAAACTATGTACACATTTGTCGTATGCATCGCAAATTAACACGCGTCCGACGTAACGTCGACTTGCGATGTTCCAGATCGGCGAGTACGACTAGCGTGTTAATAGAATTTACGCGTAGCACGTCATATACAAATAGACATTTGCAATAGACAAAACGCGTGCACGGTGCGTTTTGTTGTCTAAATGGAAGATGAACAGCTCATCAATTTAGAAAGGCGATACGAATGTTTTTTTTTATAATATTAAATATGTTGAATATCGATAAAAGTAAAAAAGTAGGTTTTGTATTTTTATTCCATTGAACCCAGTTACGATTAGATGTGAGAAATGATTTTATGTATTGCAGAAATTACATATTGTATTCTAAATATTCACATATTTGTTTACAAAATAAATTATACATTTTAGCAGAATTACTACCTAAACGTCGAAAAGTCCGACTTAAGAAATTTTGGTAGTAATACTGTTAAACGTTATGATTATTTAAATGCTAAATGAATCCATGCATTTGTAAAATACAATGTGTTTCCCCCGCAAAACTTCGAAAGATTGATATACGAAAGTACAGAAAAAATTGATGGTCATCATTTTTTATTTCTTTTACCAGTTAAGATGCGTAAATATTGAATTCGTAAAAAAAATCTTTTTCTTGTGGTGTGGATATATTCGTTCATGAATATCAGACAAAGTATATCATTATCAAATTCACTCTCAGAATCAGAAAACATGGTATAAATTGTAATCGTGCGTTCGCCAAGAAGTGACAAAAGTGTCTGACGCCAAACCTACGTTACATACGTGGGTCAAGTGTGTACACCGATGTAGGAGCGTTGTATCAGATACGTTGCGTGCGTGGGAGTAGTCCGTTTCTCGCTTAAATAAATAAATAAAGTTATTTTTTCTCTCACAAATAAAAAAAACATAAACATCAGCTTAATATTTAATATATTACTACTTAATATTTAATTGTGGGAAAACTGTATGCTAAGGTACTAATTGAAAGAGTTATGAAAGAAACTGATGAAAAAATTTGAATGGAATGGGGTGTACAGATCAAGTCTTTTCCTCGCGGAGAAGTTTTTGGCGAAAAACCAAAAAGTTTTTTGTGCGTTCATGGACTTGGAAAAGGCTTATGACAGGGTGGACAGGGGTGTGTTATGGCAAACGCTGAACGCATTTAGGTTGAGCGCTGGTTTGATACAGGCATTAAAGTCTATATACTCGAGTGCTTGTGTTAGAATCAATGGGGTCTACTCGGACTGGTTTGGCATCCATAAAGGTGTCAGACAGGGCTGTGTAGCTTCCCCGTGGCTGTTCAACCTATTTATGGACAGCTGTTTGGAAAATTTGAAAGTTGAAGAATGCGGTTTAAGAATGGGTGAGTTAACCATCAAATGCCTTTTGTACGCCGATGATCAAGTCATACTTGCGTCGTCGGCGGCAGAGTTGCAAATGATGGTTACATTAATGAACAGGTCATTAAAAGAAAGGGGAATGAAAATGAACGCAAGTAAGACGAAAGTGATGGTTTTTGAAAGAATGAAAGCAAAACGGTATGTGAAATAAGAATAGAAGGAAGAGTTAATTGAGCAAGTGGATGAGTTCGTATATTTGGGATGTGTATTCAGCAGGGATGGGAGATATGATAAGGATATTGAACGACGAGTGAATGCAGGAAATAAAGTAAATGGGGCTCTACACTCTATTGTGAAAAGTCAGAATGTGTCAAAAAAGGCACGTATGGCAATTCACAGTGCTGTATTAGTCCCTACTTTAACGTATGGTAGTGAAAGTTGGGTGTGGCAGAAGAAGCACGAGAGTAGAATAAATGCAGTAGACATGCGGTCGCTAAGGAGTATGTTAGGGCTGAATCTGAGCGACAGGGTGAGAAACTGTGTGATAAAAGAAGAGTGTCGTTTGCAAGATGATGCGGTGACGAGGATTAAGAAAGGAATGCTTCGGTGGTTTGGCCATGTAGAAAGAATGAATGCGGAAAGACTGCCAAAGCAAATATATGTTGCAGAAGTGAATGGAAGAGTCGGAAAGGGGCGTCCTAGGCGGAAGTTTGTCGACCAAATTGGCGATATACTAAAAATGGGCCAAATTAAGGGTACCCTTAATCGACGAGCATGTTTGCGTAGGTATATGGATGTGGAAGAGGCGAGAAAGGTATGTCAGAATCGTGCTAAATGGAAGTCTGTAGTCTCTGTCTACCCCTCTGGGTGACAGGCGTGAGTGTTTATGTTATGTTTAATATTTAATAGTTTTCTGAACCTCTCACTATGGAAGGAAATTTAAAGATGTATCATATCAAAATTCTATTCAAAATTATGTCGAAATAGGGTCAAAACGCGACTACACGGTGATTTTTTTTATGGAAAAGATGGCGAACGAGCATGCCGGTCGCCTGATAGTTAGTGACTACTGCAACAGAATCGCAGGTTTGCGTTGCTTTGCCGACCTTTTAGAAAAGTGTGGTAGTAAAGTGTAAGTGTATAAGTCCATAAATAGTCCGGTCCGGTCCGGAAAAATCGCCGGTGGTAAACGATTCCACAAAGACGTTGTACGAGGAAGAAATCTCTTAGTAATACGCATAGACAGTGGTGGACCGCCAAGCATCTAGAGATGGTGTAGGTACCGTGAGTTCTGCTGCGATGTGCGTTGGTGACATTTGGCGGCTGGAATTAATCCGAACAACTTCAGAGCACTCCCCGTGGCAAATGTGATAGAAAATGCATCCTTTTGCGTTTGTTATCGCTATGACATTATAATAGTATGAGTATGGGTATGTATTGAGTGTGCGTCGTCCGCAGCGACTGGGCGATGGTGGTGCGGCAGCTGCGTACGCACCGCGACTTCCCGGTGTACTTCAGCGAGGGCCGCACGCGTGACTCGGGCTCAGGCTCGGGCTCCGAGCTGGACAGCCCGCTCGCCACCGACGCCACGCTGCGCCTCGGCGATCGCGTGCGCTACCAGGTACCTGCACACGTCACACGTGTGTGTGTGTATGCGTGCGGACGTGCGTGGGTGTGCGTGTATTTGTGTTTGTGTTGCGTGCGTCTGATGTGCGTGCGTGCATCCGTGCGTGCGTGTGCGTGTCTGTGCTATGTCTTTGGCACACTCTATAGCTTAAACGGCTTCATGAATTTTAATTAAATTGGAAATTTCTTATCTATCTAATGAAATAAAACTCTTTTTCGTAACATTGAGTAATTAGGTTTATTGAATAGTAGCGACATATTAATGGGGCATTATTTAGATTTAAGGTAAGATTTCTTTTATCAATTTGTGTTTTTTTTAAACGAAATATTTTGAATAAAATATAGCATGAATCACTCCTCTCATTGCTCTCTATCTATTCATTAAGTTTCATTACTATCGACTCAGCCATTCCGAAGATTAGCCTAGACAATTAGATAGACAAAAATGTTGAAAATGGTTATTCATGTCGTAATGGCATATTATTTTTTATAGATTACGGATAACGAACGATCACACAGTCCACCTAATGGTAAGGTGCTGTGGTCCATAGACATCTACATTTATCCTCAATTAAGAATCAAAATGCAGATGCATTGTTACCTCTGAAGACTGAAATGGAATGCCTCATTCCTAGTAAAAGGGGTCTCCGGTTCTCTACAATCACCATATAAAACACAGCAGCATTAAGCTATCTCACGCTGGTATTCTGTGAGATTGTGTTCGTTCCCCGGTCGAGCCGACCTATTCGTGCTACAATCATAACATAGCTGAAGCATGGCTTTACCATTTAAACAATTGTTTGACTTTTTTTTGTACTTAGACCCTGGGACAATCTCAGAAGATACCTTATGAGATATTAGAGACGAATGAAGCCGCGGCTGTATTTAAGACATTCCTTCACGAGGCGCAAGAAGAGCAGAGGAATTATGAGTGAGTATCTATACTGTGATTCATAATGAGGTCTAAAGAATCAACAACAGACGGATATGAAAGGATCTCGAATGGCAGCCTCGTACGGTCTATCGCAGTGTTAAGTGACACCCACTAGATTGAATGAAGACAATCAATCGTACAGGTAGACAATGGATGCAGTTAGATCAACGGTGCTTCGTGGAAATGGGGAGACCTATGGTTCAGCCTTGTGACGGGCTGTAATGATGATAATGATTTATAACTGTGTCCATTAGTCTACCAAGCAATACTCTAAATTCACTATATATTACATATATACTCGAGAGGCTTGTTTATAACATCAAGTGTTAAGCTCAAACATGGTAGGCGACTTCTCAATCATTAGCAGGCCTTTACTAACTTTGTTGACATCACTTTTTAGTACGTTGCGTATATTTTTTTGTGAGCCGTGGTAGCTCTTATAGAAAAGCTTATATAGCATACAAGCCTTGTATAACAAAGATACACACATTTTGTTGTCAACAAAGTTAGAGAATATGCGTGCACGTTAATTATGAGTTAACTTAAGGATTTATAGGTATGTTCAATAATATTCAAACACTATAATAAAATTTAGTTATTTGTTAATATAATTTGTTTTTATTCAGATGGTGTCAACAATTCAAGCGTTTACTAGAAGAGACCGGGTATGTAACCCCGGGGAAGCAGTTGTCAGAGGTGCGGGTGTTGCTAATGGGCAGGGAGTGCTACGAGGCTTTAACGGAGGAGCAACAGCAAAGAGTCTATGATCAACACCAGAGACAGATACAACGAAGAGCTAAGCATAATTTGCAGGTGAGGGAAAAATGCTAATGGGTTTTGAATTATATTCATAGGTTGTAAAAGCCGAAGCCGACACGCCAAATTATATTATGACGTCTCCGTAGCGCAGTGGCTCAGCAAAGAGTTACAGCTCTAAGGGCCGCGGGTTCGTATCCCGCACGGAACAAGTATTTGTATGGATGGCTTACAAGTAATTGTTCCGGGTCTGGATGTTTGTCCTTGTGAAATTTATGTTTGTAAACTACCACGATTACTCAAATAACTACAATATTCCTGCCCACACGCAAAATCGCGCTTAGACGTGGAATTGCGGAAAGCAGCCCGTCGTAAACTAAACTAAACTACCACGATACGGGAGAAAATCTTAGAGTGGAGGTAATGTTTTTTTAAAGAAAAAAATGTTATGATTTGATATATTTTGTGACGTATACTGAAAAAGTTTGCAAAGAAAGAAAATGTATGATTGTTAAAATTGCATATTCCTGAAATTGTACTTATTTATATGACTGTTTTCAGGAACTCCTGCTAGAACATGCAGATCTGTTCTATCACTTCAAAAGTATATCTCCAACTGGTACAATAACCCAAGAAGATATTAAGGAAATCACTGATGTACTGCAAGATGATTTTAGGTAAGATCTTTGTATTTTATTTTTATTCTGTCTTTCATAGAGAATTTATTTGTGTGCTAACTGTTATATGGCCTAAAAAATAATCATGTATAGATAAGGCTCAGTCTCTTGCTTAACTGTACTTAAAAGATTTTGAATGAAAACGCACCGTGCGCGCGTTTTGTCTATCGCAAAGGTCTATTTGTTTATAAAGTGCTACGCCTAAATTCTAGAAACACTCTAGTTGTTCTCTTGGGTTGCGTACGAATATCCACTCCAACTTCAAACGCCGAACCCTGTAATTGCGTTGTATGCGACAAGTGTGTTTCTAATGCATAGTTTTTCATACAAAATAAAGAGTCCAGGTGGCAGAATACGTTGCGTACGTGGGACTAGTTAATCTCTGACTTGATAATCGCAGATGGCGTAAGTCGATTGATCGTAGTCGCTTCCCGAAGTAGAGTTCACGTTCGCGTTCCCGAAATAATTTATTCTCCGATCGCGGCCGCACGCTTTTATATCCGTGCGGAACATTCTAGGTCAAACCGGGTCATTCATGTCAAAATAAAGTTTTTGTATTTTTTATTTCTTATTCCACTCTTTCAATGAGAATGTACTAGAACATTCGCGATTACATTACAATAACAATATGTCCAAAGGAGAAAACGCTTTATGTATGTAGGCATACGGTTGCATCGTGTTTGCATCAATAAGTTATATCATTGTCTTTTCTTACGCCCACACATTTTATTAACTTGACAGGGACATTGACCTATAATTATTCAGATGTAAAAACTGATAACATCATACATTGTTGTAATTTTTACTGGATTGTCAAGCTTTAAGAACATTCTTGTGCAAAAGTGATATAGCACGCAACTGGTCGTTGTGACATTACGATATATCTATGTGGGTCTGGGTACGAAATAAAACTTTATAACACTTGCGAAACTCTTCTTTTTATTATTTGCTTTCTCCGTCTGACACCGTTCAGCGTAATTAATATTCCTTCCACCCCTTCTAACACATCCTCTCTCTTGCTACTCGCTGTCTGTAAACGAGTAGCAAGAGATGTTCCCTCTCTCTCCTACCTCTTACGTTCCGTTCTCACATTTATGATAATATTTGTTTCTTTATTATAGGTATAAGATGCTTGATCGCATGGAGCAAGATAGAAAATTGATGCTGTTTCAACATTTGGGCTTCGTCCACTGTCCAATGCGGGAGCATTGTCCCGCTGGTTCAAATTGTTTGGATGCTACTCTACCTGTCATACTTAATACTAGGGTTGGGTAAGTATAACTTATGTACCAAAAATAGGAAAAATAATAATGTTCTCGTGGCTGCCTTCCAAAAATGCAACTTTCGAAAACTATCAACTTGTATGTATAAATAAACACACTTGCTTGTCTCAACTTAATTGTTTTGGTATTTTTGTATAATGTTGGATATGGTTGGGATTACAGACCAAGATATACTGCTTAATAGCGAGTTACTCCAACCACTGGGCCACGCGTACGTCATAATGAATGTAGCCACCTCATATTGGAAGCACTGTAGAGTAACCCCTTGGTGGTAGGCATTTGTGAAACATTTGCAATTTACATATTGCAACCATACATATTAGTATTGGCATATAAACAAAAGTGGGATGGAATAACTTATATGGTCATAAACATTGAGATAAAGTGCAAATTGAAACTATGAAGTTTTTGTTTGTTAACAGATCTTTGACGTCTGGCAGCGAGTCACAGTGTCAAGCTGGGCCCCCTGCAGCACCATGGGCACTTACTACCGACTCCAATCAGATCAATGTTATCATTTTGGGGGTGAGTATGTATATTATATTGTATATGTTAATAGTGGCACAGCGAAATTGAAAGTCGTGTTTAAGGCCCCGTGCGCGAAATCAACTCATTTCTGACAAAAAAATGTACGGTATCCGAAAGTGTGCAAAAGTACTTTGCATACCTCAACATAGGACATCAGCATTTCGTGGTACTTACAAATTTATGTCCACAAAATGTTGGAATGATCTTCCACCACCATTACGAGTCATAACAAATAAGATCAGTTTTAAGAGAAAATACAAAGAGTATTTATTAATTACGCAGAAAATGTCATAAATATAAAAAAAATTCGGCAGGGGCTGAATATCCCATATTTAGTTATATGCAATTATGTAACTTACATTTACTACCAACATTCTTTTTAATAACCATTACATTGTTCTAGCATATCTAATTATTATAATTAGTCTGAATAAATAAAACACTACTGTAGCTCTTACTTTTAATATTATTTTTTTTCATGTTTTTGTTTATATTTCGTTTATATTTTGTTTTATCTCTTGTACATGTATATTAATTATCAATTTATTAATAGAAATATTATGATAACTTGTACTGGTTAATTATATAGTTCTTGTACTGGCTGAATGAATAAATCAATAATTTAACACTAAAAAGCTATTTGTAATATAATCAGTGATTTACGCGTACTGTTATACTCTAGCTCACTAAGTAGGTATATGTGTGCTGACAGAATAACAGCGTTGTAGATTCTCTGCAACACATGCTGAGTCAGAACCCTTTCATTGCCCTTCTAAAAATATCATTTTTGTATTAGTTTAACTCTTAAATATTTTATTATTATTATTATAAATCTGATCACTGTTTGTGTGAACAGGAAAACGAATTTTAACTTTTTTTTATTTTTATTATAATTTTCTAGTTCTTAATCTAATATCTAGCTTGAAGGGATGTATCATATTATCTATATAATAATGGCAAATCACCAATATTCACAACCCTTTTTCCGAAAAGTAACGATCAAGTGATTTTTGTCATTTCAAACATTAAAAAATATAAATAACGTAAGTATACGATCTACTTGCTTGTAGCCAGATCAGTTTTTAATTTCTATCCAAATATAGCAGAAAAAAATTGTTGAAATAACGTAATTTCCAGAAAACTTCGTTCGAAATAATTATTTTTTCTATTACATAGAAACACTTTTAATTAATTAAAAAAATTAAACATTAATCTTAAGATAATTATATATATATATTATATATAGATATTTAATAATAATACCAGTTTAGTTTCCAATAAAGGGTATTATAAATATATATAATTATAATACCCTTTATTGGAAACTAAATTTTATTTAATAAATAAATAATAATTTCGTTTATTACTAAATGGCAAAGTGAACTATATTATCGACCGCGCAAAATCGATCCGACCATTTTTACCATTCATAAAATACGATTTTGTCTGCTGTTGCATTTCATTATGTCCGCATGAAATAATGCAAAAATACCACCGGCGGCTGCATCGAATTGGGTTAAAATTAAGATACCTAAATTGTGATATATTGCAGGGTGACGAACCTATAAAGATCAACGTGCCATTCTTTGTAAATAAATGTTTAAAGCGGCCATAGGCGTGCCATCCAATAATTATTTTTTATTTTAACCGATATTGGACATAGATTTAAACTAAATAGGCCGAATGTTTTATCGAAAATACAAGTATCCTTTAGCATGTTCGGCTTATTTTTGCCAAAATGTGTACTCCTCATCCGTTGTATCCCTCATGGATAAAAATAAATCATCAAAACATTGAGTAAATATTATAAAAGAAACGAGTTTTATCAATTTTAAAATCAAAGTATTTACTTGACGTGTACGTCACGCACTCGTGCTCTGTATTTTATTTATCCCTTCAACATTCCGTTTCTCATATACGGCCTAATATTTAAATTTAAATGTTTTGCATTTACAAAAACTTTGTTTTAATGAAATCACGATGTTTGAGTTTCGGGCAAATACCAATAAAACATGTTAAATTTGTCTGTACTCTCTAGCAGACATTAATGACATCGCAGAACGAAGCTATGAATTACTTAAATATATATGCATAGTGTATTTGTCTAACACATTTCTTTTTTATTTTCATTTTATGTTGATTGTAATAAATATACTAAACTATAATAGTTTAGTATATTTAGTACAAAAACATCCCAGACTTTTATTTCTAAACCGTACTTACTATGTATCCTAAAATAATTATCAACTAAAGGATCAAAATTGTTGCGCTCGGTCTAGCCGTGTGTGCGTAAACGATGCACATTGCACACAAAGATAGCACCGCAATAAATTTGCCTAAACTCTATCGAAAAAATTTTCTGCACGGCCTCTTAACGTAATTGGAAGGAACATACAAACATATACCAAATCATAAACTGATCTGAGAATAAACATATTAGTGTTAGAAGATTAGTATTTGGAAGAGTGTTGGCTACATTTTATATTATTTGATAATAGTTCTTATAAGATTGTATTTACTTATTGATACATTAAAACATTAAATTCAAAATATGAAAACTGGCCTTATACATTTTCAATGTGGTGTTAGTATTATATTGTCGATATGACAAATATATAAGATTCCTTTCGACCAGTATCGTAGTATAATGTCCTATTCACATACACACGCACCTGAAACGACGCCGTGCCGTGCTAATACAGTTACGTGCGTCGCTCGTGCTTGTCTCCTGTCTGCATATAAAATGAGGTTCAACACATAAATATTCTTAATTTATATACATACTAGCTTGCCAGGCAGACGTTGTTCTGCCCTTTTCGGCGACCCTTTGTCATGTCCTATTAAAAACATTCCATTCGCGAAAAAAAATGTGGGTCACTCATGGACAAAAAAACTATTTTATGTCTCAAGTTGGATCAAAGTGCACATCGCGGACAAACAACGTGATACGTAATTTATATATTAAAGATAATATTGTAATGTTTGTGCTATCGAGATTTTAACGACTTCACATCGAGGAGGTTCTTAATTCGACTATGTTCTTTTTTATCATATCTTGATCGAAAGTTCGTATTTCGACCCTACTTTTAGGGACGAAAGTGCCACATTGCCTCCCAATTCAATGACTTATTAATTTAGTACGCATCCGTCAAAGGAGGATGGCCAAATTTCTATAGGAGCTGGACTTGACTTTTTTTTTCATGTCCCAAAACAAACTATAGTTAGCTTGGTTTGTTTTTATGTTGTAAACACAATCACGTTTAAAAATAATATCTAAATCGCCACGATTTTTTATAATAACGTCAACAATATTTTTAAGGCTGAATCAACAAATACCTTTTACTTTTTTTATTGGCCATTTTATTAAAATATAACATTGGTATATCAAAATTATAATCAATACAAATGATATAAGATTACATTAGATTATTAAAATTACAACTCAAAATACATTTACATTATTTTTACATGTCAAGCAAGTCAGAAAATGAACATTTCATATATTCTTCTATATTATAGAAAGCGTGATTCATAAATTATGTTTTCGTCACTTGTCGAAACGAAGTCTTGTTATTTCTTAAGGCAATTTATTGTACACTTTGATTTTTAACGAAAAACCTTGCTTGGACGCTTTATCCGACTGCGACGTAGCCTAATAGTGTAGTTAAAATAATTATTTACCTAATAATAGAACATCTCTCAAAGCGCACCCTACGTATGTGCACCATACTCCCTAAAGTTCGATGTCAAATCAAAAAGGGCCGTCTGTCAAACCATCTCGTGAAGTTGACCGTTTCGACAACAAATTATGACCATTAATTCAATAAAAACTACACCTACATGTATTGCACTAGCTTGCACAGTATGTAGTGTAAAAAACAAGGATAGCGTAATTATTATCACACGAAGTCTTTCCTAAAAGATTTCAAGGCTTTTTTGTAGTTTGACCATTTTAATTCTAGCTGAAGAGTTAGTCGCTAGATACCTACTGTCTTTCAGTCTTCAATACTAAAGTTGCATATGTATTGAAAAATCGAGTAATGGTAGGTTACGGGAATAAATGAAGTGTAATGGTAGAATTTATAATTTAGGAGTACTTAATGAAACAAGTAGGCTAGACAAAATAACTTTTTATTCATCATCCTCTCTTATATCTACAACATCAAGGAGTGATGTTGGCACTGGCGATATTGTCGGCTGATGCCTGGCCCATCCAAGGTACCACACAAGCGTCATAACATGTGCACATCACCCAACTGTCCTTCGATTCGATACCCTCTGTGAAATCTGACATGTTCACTATAATAGGACCTTCCCTGTTGAATCCATATGGTCCTAGTGCAAATAATATAACTTCATACATGCGACTTAAAGCTCGTTGCAGTGTTTGCTAAATAAAAATATGTCGTGGAACCATACAACTATTTATCACACAATAATAGGGCATCTCTCAAAGCGCACCCGACATCTGTCCTATAAATCCCAAACATCATGTATAATATCACTGCATTTATTATTCTAAAAATCGTCGGCATTTTATAAGTCCTTTCTTAAAAATAACACAGTAGATAGGTGCAGTATGGGCCCTTTGTTTATTAAAGTATTCATTTATTAGCAAGTATAAATTCCAAACATCATTGAAATATAATGTCTAGAGATACTTACCCTTTTATATAATTATAAATCAGAAGGAGATTGTGAATTAAAAGAGATAAAAAAGGGTGCCAGAGCATTAAATTAAACTTTGCTCGGCGTTTATTTATAAATTACACATATAACATAATATATAACAGAAAATAAAAGCACACAGTAAAATTGAAACAGGTAAAATAAACAAAATTACAATTTTAATTGATCATTACTAATCATCATTGCGACAGTCCACTGCTGAACATAGGCCTCCTAAACTAAATATATAATGTAAAATATTACGCAGGCCTTTCGTGAATTGCCACCCCGTCCCATATGGTGTTGTAAAAGTCGACAGAGTAAAATAAAAATATCAGATTGGCAGCGGCACCTTCCTATAGAATACCACAAAAAACTGTGGTTGCCACAAGTGTAGCAACTATGCCAAAATCATCATTAATATAACAATATTAATATGCATTAAGATATAATCATCATTCTGTATTTTCAATATCATCACTTGATGGTAATATATCATATAAAAAAGATGCAGGTGGATCAACCTCATATCGATGCTATGCCCATGATAGAAACCAAACTAAAATAGCAGCTTAATGCTGCTGTGTTTCGAATGGTGAGTATAGAGAACCGGAGACCCTTTTAATGGTAACAAGGCATTCTATCTCAGTCCTCAGGGCTGGGAACACATCAACATTTTGATTTTCAATTGAAGATAAATGTAGATGTCTATGGACCACAGCATCCACTTACCATCAGGTGGACTGTGTGCTCGTTTGTCACCTTATTTCTATAAAAAAAGAGAATTTTTATTAATCATCCTCTCTTACAACTACAGCATCAAGGAATGCTGCAGGTGCTGGTATTGTCGGTTGATGCCTGGCCCACCAAAGATACCACACAAGCGTCATAACATGTGCACAGCACCCAACTGTTCTTCTACCAACTAAACAATTGCAGCAATACTCTATTATAGCTTCCCTTCCAGACAAATTATTTTCAATTAATATATAAACATAATATACTTTTCTCGAAATGTGTCTGGATTTGATTTTGCCTCTTATAAGTGAATTATTTCCACTTCCTCTCAAACAATACTCTGTTACATTAATGTTTTCTCTGCTTATTTCAATTCTATACCCTCCGTGAAACCTGACATGTTCACTATAATAGGACCCTGCCTGTTGAATCTGATATGTTCCTAGGGCAAATAATATAACTTCACTATATTCTAGATGGGGGAATATAATATTAGTATTGGAATGAGCTGCAATACTAGTAAAATCAGATGTTCCTCTATTCATATTCATACTATTTATAAAATCAGATAAATTATTATTTAATGGAAATCCTTCTCTAATCACATTTATGATTTGCTCAGCATCATTCCTGTTTTTTAATCGAACACCGAATTTATTTAAAATGCTTGCAGCTATGGAAAACATTTGCATCATATGTGGAACAGTTTTATTAAAAAAATCTTGCCGAAATATTTTAAAGTCTCGTTTGAAGTACCCGTTTACAACTTACACCACCCATCGGCATATGGTCACACAACAACTCCTGTTAGCTTGCTCAGTGGTGAGCTGATGTTCACCCTCAAGCAAGGATTCTGGCATATATGTTCTGTAGCTGCAAGCCTCTAACAAACTAATTGAATCTCTAAATCCCCTGTCTAGAATAAAAACATTGTTATTTTGAAAGTATTGTGCGAGAGAGTTTTCATCTCTGAAAAGAGACTTCATTATATCTGCATCAGTTGTGGTCGCTTTGTAAGGGCCAAAGCAGTCTAAAATGTACCCATCAGGTGTCACCAGCAAAAATGTTTTTAACAAGTTTTTGTATTTATGTAAGGAATATGTGTCCTTTTGGAACATGTAATTGGAACTTTTGTTTATAAAAATATATGTCCCATCACATATAACTATCGCGTTTTCATTATTTTGATTATAAATTGCATTTGGAATCATTAAATTGTGTTCCAATAATTGCTCACGTGATATGTGTTCAATTCCCAGATTTCTAGGCACAAAATCTTGTACCAATATTTCCCTAACCTTATCCTTTAACCTTTCTAATGTTCGCCTTGGAACCATTAATAACTGTGATAACCGGTCATCTGATTCACCAGTTCTCATCTTCATTAGAAGAGCACCTAAACCTAAAATGCCTCTATTTGTTTCTACAAGACGGGGTGTTTCATATAGTAAAAGTTCAAATTGTTTTTTATTCATTCCGAACCAATAATGAAACAAATGCTCATCAATTCTTTCAACACTTTCCATATTTCGAGAAATCAAGAAATGTGTTGAAAGCATTTATAAAAGAAAAAGCATGTTCCACTTGTTCAGCCGTAAATGTTCTCAAACTATTTGAGAATTGAACAACATATCCCAATCAGTACTAAACGTATGCTCTACACAAATACGAGCATTTATAGGCAAGTAATATTTGTGTTTGCTAAGAGTTGTTGCTCTTAGAGGGTCAGAAATTCTATGCAAATCTGTGTTCTGGCAACCAGAAAAAACACAATGTGCTGCAGTGTTTGCCGCTTGTCTATACTGCGGCAAACTAATCACCCGAGGTATTTCGTCATCTTGCTGGTCGGTATTTGGTGGGCTTTGAGGTTCTTGGGGTTGAGGCTCTGGCTCCTGCTCCAGCTCTGGCTCTGTCTGCTGCATATTGCGTGTTGCAACTCTCTTGAGTCTCAGCCAACAGGGATGACAAACATGGTCTGTTGAAGTTGCCTGAAACAACCATACAGCTTTGTCTTAATATAAATGTTTTGGCTAATTATTATTAAACCCGAGCAAACAGAAACACTTTTACAAACAATATATAATTGCAGTGATAAATTCACTATAACATTGATACCAAGACAAAACAAAAAAAAAAGTACAAAATAAAAAGGTAATTATTACCTGCCGTGGCGCAATTCTATTTTCAAGCTCAACATGTATTGCTTGTTGCAACTGAGATGGATTCTCTCTCACAACGACATCACATTTACGAGTACTCGGAGAACTTATACAAAGTATGCAAACATGCTTGTGGCCACGGGAAGATGAGGCACTAGGTTCATTAGGTAACCCGGAGTTGACATGCTGTATTGCC